AGTATGTATGTATGTATGTAACACAGTAAAGGTCTGCCTAGGAGCTATTAATCACCAGGACACACGGAAAGGTACTAGCATAGCCTCTTTTCGCCATTAATGATATTAGATAGTCTTTATTGTAATAAATCTAGTCTACTGCCACTTATTTATTTATATTGCCGCCATATAAACATTGATATAACTTGTAGAAACTATCTTTTACTGAGAATTTCGAAATCATAATACAGTACAACATCATGCCTTTTAATCTATGGAGGAGGTACATATCTGAGTGAATAGGTTGCTTATGGGACGACGTTCTCCATCGTGACGACAGCATCGCTTACCACCATGCGAGATAGTGGTCAAACGTCGGCCCATCAAATATATATAAAAAAATCTCTAGTACCGGGCCTACATTGCAGTGTACGCCAGGACATGGTTAAGGAGCCCAATTCCAGGATCTATATTACCAAAAGGGAAGGAAAGAGTAGCAGTGGGCGAAGGAAAAAGTCGTGGCTGCGCAATATTCGGGAGCTCTGTGGAACAACTTTTCCGCCTGGCCAATGACAAGGACCAATTCAAAAACTTGACGGCCAACCTTCAGGAATGAAGTGGCACCATAAAAAGAAGAAGAATATTACCAAAAAATCAAAAATAATCCCAAACTTCTCAGTTTTAAAAACCACTGAAAAAAACATATTATTTAGAACATTGTGTCATTTTCTCTTCCCGTTATTTCTACCAAACTACAAAGCTGTTTGTTGGTAGATGAAAAATGCTATGTCTAATATGCGAAATAAACTTGAAGCAGTTGAATGAAATGAAGTTCAGCAGTCACTCAGTTCAGCTTGAGATCGTCGACATACACTCGACGATCGCCTACCTTCCTAACTTCTAAGTCAAACAACATTAGAAACGCGTGACGTGAAATTCTAATTAAAACTTAAAACTCGTCAGGAGCTGAAATTCTTAAGCAAACGTGTGTTGATCGTCATTACACTGAGAGTATCGTCGGTTGAATGCCAGTAAGTCTGCTAAGCAAAGGGTCTGAAGTTCAAGAACACTTAGAAGTCCTAGAATTGGGAGACTAGAAAGTGTAAATGATAATTCGCTCGATAAAATATTTAGTTATAGAACTTTGTTCGGTTTTACATATTATATTTTGCAGTAGAACCCGACCCGGCTGATTAATTCAGAATATGACATGTATATATCCTCGTAGTCCGAATTTTAATGTACGGTGATTAACCATAGGGTGCCTCATTATATAGGACTGATACAAAATGGGTATCAAAACATGCTACGTACACCTCACTCTATATGTTCCTACAGGGAACATAAGGGCGTAATGTTATTTTAGACCACTTATTCAGGAAAAACCAAACAACAAAACAGATAGGACTGTATCTATACTTGTACCTAACAGCTTCTTACTTTGATTGCACACACGGGAGCTATAAACTTTTATGGGAACTACAATCGACGGTGTTACAACTATTTTTATGTTTCAAGCTTTTAAACCTTTATTTTTTCGATGGCAACACTTTGGACAACACTCAAGGTAACTTACTAAAGGATGACCCATTTTCCGGGCCAATGAATCCGTATTGTTGTACAATAAACATTTGGAGCAGGTATTCGTGTGAAAGACTTCGTTTTGTTCTCTAATTACTTTGTAATCACCATCAAGAGCCCTTGACAGTGACAGACCATGGACATCCTATTCTTACGAGGGCTTGCTATAATCTACACGCTTGGCAGGTGGATTTAAAGGTTCTGGTTTACCAGAGAGCGATGCTGTCATGTCTATACATGTTACGATAAACAAAAATAAACTTTGTTAACAGTCTACAATATCTTAGGTAATATCTTGATAATTAAGTTCAGCAGTGCGTGTGAGAGGCGTGTAATTATCACACCTCATAACCACTCAATATTAGAGGCTGTCTTTCAACCTCCGTATTATTATTAGCAACACGTCTAACGAGCTCCGATCACGCACGGCAGAAATATGCTGAAAAGCTTAAGTGTAAAGTGGAACCTACGAAGGAGGAGCGCGTAGGTAGTATCTCTCGGGGAAAAGAGAAGCCTAATAATTTTAAAAAAAGTATAATCTAGATATACATAGTATAAAACAAAATCGCTATCCGCCGGTGTCTGTCCCTATGTATGCTTCGATCTTTAAAAATAAGCAATGGATTTTGATGCTGTTTGTTTTAAAAGATACTAGTGTGATTCTTAACTCGTCGAGTACCGGTTTTATAGACACAATTAAAGAACAATAGGTCGCGGTCACCGGTGACCGCTTGGTGTTTGACAGTTTAAGGAAGATTTATGTGTATAAATAAGCATTTTGCACCCGTGCAAAGCGCCCCCGCTTTGCATATAGGTCGCTAGTCTGGGTATAAATTAAAACTGTTTATTACGCCACGACACACATACAGACAACAATGCAAGAACACACAAAAAGAAGTTCATAGTGCGTCGCAGCGCAAAAGGCCGGAGCTCAGCTTAATGCTGTGGCCTGGGCACGAAGGCTCTAGTCCACAGCGCTATAGGTCCTGATAGCACCTATATCAGGCGACTAGACAATCAAACGCTGACCTATCATGCAAAATAATGTTCTTCAGATACTGCAGCTGGATTCAAGTCTTCTATATCCACGCTTTGATTACTACTACACAGATGAATTGCTAATCATGATACTAAATCTAATCTTAACGGTGCAAAATTGCAAAACCGAGATGTATCGTCTGATGGGGATTAGGCTACCAAAATGGTTACATTTCATACTGATATTTTTTTAAAAAAAAACGTTGCCCTACATTAGGATTTTCTCCTGTGTCGTGGGTGCGTTTACAAACATACAAGTTCACATACACATGATACCCAGACCCGGAACAACAATCTGTGGATCTAAGAGTTGTTCCGTGCGGGAATCGAACCCGCGGCACATTGCGCAGCAGCCGGTTGCCCAGCCACCGCGCCAACCGTGCAGTCTGCAGAATATGAAGACATGTAAAAAGAAGTACAATTTAACTACCTACACATTTGTATAGAAATATTAGATACGTTCAATATGTGTATTGCGGGTTCATTTAAGTCCAATGTTATTTACACAATGTAGTCTAGCCGTCCAATAAAGTTAACAAATTAATTTTGTATCTATGTAGGTAGTTATTACTCACATGTCAACGATTATATGGTTATTGAAACTATCACAAAATTATTTAGTCACTAGTGAGATGCATTGAGCTGAATGGGGATGATGACAGGGTATGAAAATTAAAAATATAATTAGTCCGTAAGTTAGGTAATGAAAAAATATTAGACACGTATTTTTTTATTTTGTCGTATAATAAAACAATACTTAGATAAAACGAATCAAAGTTTAGGTGTGGGGGTTAAAACGTCATTTCTTAGTATAAAATGTACTGAGAAGTGACGTCACGCGACATTTCAAATCAATATATCTTCGAAACTATTCGTTTCTGTGAGAAAATAAAAAATACGTGTCTAATGTTTTTAAATAATCTATCAGACGGACATTAAAATAAAAATTAGTCGTCCACCCTATTCCTTGGATTCACAAGAAATCCTAAACGTCAGCTAAGTGCCCAGTCTATAGCCAGACTCCCTACTAATGTAGCTCTAATCTTAATAGACTTAGAGCTTAGACTCATTAACAAAGTACTCATTATTTTGGATAGCAATGACTGCAATATTATAATCACTACATAGTATAAAACCAAATCGCTATCCACCGTCTGTCTGTCCCTATGTATGCTTAGATCTTTAAAACTACGTAACAGATTTTAATGTGTTTTTTTAAATAGATAAAGTGATTCTTAAGGAAGGTTTATATTTATAATTCATGCATATGGCACCCGTGCAAAGCCGGGGCGGGTCGCTAGTAAATTATAAGTACAATTGCAAAGCAACAGACACAGACAGTCTTCTTTTTGTACCAAACAAACTTACTTCAAAGAACTATTAGATCAAAACTTCGCTCCGTGACAAATGTACGCAGAACACTGCGATACTGCGTATCTAGTGTGTAATGAGGCAAACTTTACTTCTTTGTTTTGTTGTCACCATGTGCCATGGGCATTATCTTTCCCATCAGTTACAGTTAGTTGTTCAAAGTACCTAGCTAAGTAACCCAGAGCTAAGTAAAGAAATTCCAACAAAACACACGAAGTAGAAAAGCGTACACTTTAGATATTTTAGTTTTATATTTATTTAATAAACTTTTTGTTTTAGGCAACTATGGTCTATCAGTTCAGTCTAGCTCTAGCATACTATATGCTTATGTAAGGCATATATGTCTATGTTATATATGGTATGTCTATGTTATATATGGTATATCTATGATATACATATATGCCTTACAGACTAGCATAAATATTCAAATATAAAATTGATGTTAGTAAATAAACTTAAGTTTTAAGGCTTAAGATAAGTACTTGTTTGCGCTTTGTATATACTTTTTTTATATATTTTTTTCGGCCATACTAGATTCTATTTTCTTCATTTACTAATAACTTAAGTTTCTGTCAGGTTAGAAGAAATAGCATTATATAGTGCAATGCAAAACTTATCATTTTATGCTAAGAGGCGAAATTGTAGAACTTACAACATTAATGCTTAAAGTTTTGTTTATAAATGTAAATGTGTGATCATCTTGTTTTGTGTAGATATACAACAATGTGGCATCTAATATCAAGTGGCAACTACTTTAATGTACTCGAGTACACCTTCATCTCACCATTTCGAGACTTTTGTTACACCTTAGAACCCGAAATTAAATTAGGCAAATTACTTACATAACACGTCGCGGGACGTTTGAAGTAAGCAAAGCGTACGGCAACACCTACACATACTTTCGCACTAGTATTTTTTAATACTGAATAAAATTGTATCAATATTCCCCTTTCGTGTTTATGCTTAGACCAGATATCGTACTAAAACTATATATACATATACTATAATTATGTTTATTTTTGAAATATGTAAGTGAATCTATTTTATTTGCCCAATCAAATAGTTGCTTGCTTCTTGCTCCCATCATTAACTCTTCTCTGCATCACCCAAAGGTCAGGCTGGGAGAAAATGCCTGCGGTATTATGTCCACCGTATGTACACTTTGTGCATGAAGCTTAAATAAATGAATAAATGAAAACCTTGTGTTAGCCTGCCGCACGTAGAACTAACCATTGAAGCTATCGCAGCTTCATTTACACAAACTCAATTTCGACTCTCGTCAAAGAAAGACGTAAAAAGAAAATATCATTAGACAAATTCCATAAAACTATGTTTTATTAGAACTTATAGTACAACGACATCACCATTTTACTACTCGAACTGGGTGATCATAAAATGGTTTGTCTAGTCGCAAAACAAATGAATCTCTATTAAGGAGCTGATAGAGGCGAATTGAATTTGATCAATATAAGCATGGCAGGCGACGACAACATTTTACAAAAGTAAACAGCTAACGCACAATATTTGTCGCCTTTGTTTACGTATTTTGATTCGTATGAAGTTTGCTTTTAACTTATTTTTTTAGGTAATTCAGTTTCCATTACAAACCCAACAAGTAGATAAGCTAGGTGAACAGAACAGTTACCTTTGTTTTACAGAACAACTTAGGAATAATTGAAATGCGTTTGTATGGACGTAGTTTACGATCCCTGTCGTTTCATTAGCGTTCATTATTTTGACACCAATGCAATAAAGCTGGCTCGCGATGTGATGTGGTGCGGCGGCGGCTCGGAGGCTCAGTATCATCTCCGCCGGCGCTGGCTGGCCGACATGTCCCGCCGGGCCCGCGAGGACGCCCAGAGGCTGATACTCCCCACAGCCTCTAAGTAACGCACCCCTTGACGCGCCCTCCGGGATGGGACCGAATGTAAATATAAACCACCGATCATATTTACTTGGGCCGCAATGGCTCCACAGACAAAAGGACTATTTCTCCTTTTATTGTTTTGCGCACTCGGCGGGAGCAGCGGGGACGGTGAGTAAATATTATTCCTTTAGTTTAAATGCTTTTATTTCTATATTGAGATGCATGACTACGCATATAATTTAGCAAAATAAAGTTGTTAGCACCTCATCACGAAACAGAGTAGATCCAAAAATAAATGTGAGTAAAAAGTTGTAAGTGTTAGTGATGGTAAGATCAGGGGCATGGTCCTCTGGGGAGTCGAAGTTATTGAAGGGGCGGTCAACTGGATTAGGTCAGAGTTATCGACATCGCATTTGTTAGAGTATCCGACGTCAGCAACTATACCGGTCCGTCTCTTGGGACCAACGTTTGTATTATCTCGATAAAGAATTGTAATGTATCTTTTTCAGATGAGACAGAATATTTCGACGTTTTGTCTCTGGTTAGGGACAGCGACGAGCTCCCTGAGGGGATCACTCGCGTCCCGGGGCGGTGCCAGTCCCCCCTAGAGAACTACACCGACTACACAGCCTTCTCCCTAAATGAAAATGCCACCATGCACAGACTTGCCGCCGGGATGTTCTACAACACTTTCCCCGAAGATTTCTCAATAATGGCTGTAGTTCGACTACCAGGTATAAAAAGCATTTTATTTAAATATTTTCTACTGAAAGACAAGTACTTTTTCCTTCACCTATCTAAACGCCTCTCGGGTACACTTTAAACAGCATAAACACCTTTTTTTCTGAGATTTTCCGGCTTTCCGACTATTAAGAGGGTCTAAACGGCCACATTACAAAGACACTTCAAATCGTACAACAATACACAACAGTGTAATAACGAAAAGGATTTGCTTTACACAGAATTTGTGTTCGTTATATGAGAACGAATTTGTTTCATTATTGTGAAATTAAGAAATTACATTAAAATACTGTCTATTCTTGGAAGGTGGTACGCCCCAGGTGAAATGTATTTCCATTAACACATATTCCAATTAAGCCACTATGCATTTAGAATACGATCTATTTTTAAAAGGCTACGCTTTCGCCACCTTTGCTACGCCAAGGTAGGTACGCGTAGCGCATACTGTAGCAACCACAGTGCTACGAATCTACATTACGCAGATTTTTTATGGTATAAGCCGGTAAACGAGCAGACGGATCACCTGATGGTAAGCAATCGGCGTCGCCCATGGACACCTAGAATACCAGAGGCGTTACAAGTGCGTTACCGGCCTTTTGGGAATGAGGAGTTTGAGAATCGTTGAGGATTCAGTGATTGGGGAGATTAGGGAAAGGGATAATTGAACCGGTAACCTCACTCACATGACGAAACACAACGCAAGTTGCTTCATGTCGGTTTTCTGTGAGGCTGTGGTATCACTCCGGTCGAGCTCATCCATTTGTGCCGAAGCATGGCTTTCCCACACTAATACAATTCTAAAGATTAACACTTTACTGAAGATAGAACTCTTATGTGGTGCATATAAAACGTATAATATTTTACGTACTTACTCCATGTAAAACTAAAATATATTTCCAAAACAGGAACGGAACAGAACCCACTATTCATTCTGTACTCGGACGCTGGTGACGAACAGTTGCAGCTGGTAGTCGGTAACTTGATAGAGCTGTACTATGAGGACACGAGAGGAGATCCCCCGGACAATGAACTCCTCACGTATAGAGTGGATATCGCTGATGGAAGGTACGTTCCCTAGACCCAGTAGCATGCAGTCCATATAGGCAAAAAGGCTTTGCTTGACATAAAATGTACAAACGCGTTTATTAAGATTCAATAATATAACAAAAGTTTGTAAAAAAACGGCTAACATAAATATACATTCACATATACACGGACCGCACGCCTTTGCCTAGACCTCATATTATAATGTTATTATTATATTAATAATGGTAAGTTTAGTGCATTTTAATAGTTGTACGAACGTGACATTCAATATTCATGTGTTCATTTACGACCAGTACGTGCAAATGTAATTTAATATTTAATAAAGATTTTGTACTGTACATTGGTTCTTAATAGACAGTTCAATGATGACAATGATTACGTAAAACCATTTTTTTTTATTTTAAATGCCCCACACAAGGTTTTATGTTGTGTCGTGGGTGCGTTTACAAACATACAAGTTCACATACACATGACACCCTGACCCGAAACAACAATCTGTGGATCACACAAAGAGTTGTTCCATACGGGAATCGAACCCGCGACACTTTGCGCGGCACCGCTCAGCCACCGCGCCAACCGTGCAGTCTAAAAAATACTATGTCTAGAAAATAGGGAGTTCGAAAGTTTGTTTAAACTAAAAACAAATTCCTTGATACAAAAGCTAAGGTACACACAGACAGGTAAGCACAGGTACTACACAGACATAAGTATTTACTATGAATACAGAGAATAAAGAGCATACAATAAAAACAATCCGTGAGACATCCGCAGTCGTGACAACGATCACAAAAGTATTTCAATCGGTCCAAAGTTCAAAGTAACAAGTCGGGTAAAAGTTATTCAATAAGATCTATTGTTTGTATAACGGCTACCGAAAACTTTGTATTAATCTATCTAATGAAAAATAACTTCAGGAAATGTTTAAAGAAACTTTGAATGATCAAAAACGAATAAGATCTAAATACACTTGGGAGTTTTGCTCCCAACGGAGCCACTAGCATTTTTTTTACATTCTATCAAACTCTCTATAGCTTTAACAAAAAATTATCCTTTTACAACAAAATGCTCTCATTTTAAAAGTAACTAAATTGCCTTTTATACGACATGTGTTACCAATTAATAAAATAGGTACTTGTATCAAAAAAGATTTAGATCTCAACTTAATACAACAAGTGTGTACAGGTGGACTTATTGCCTTGGGCATTGTCTCAAGTCTTTTATGAAGAAATGAAAAAGAGAAAAGGCCATTGGCTCTGGTTTTTAACCGACTTCAAAAAAAGGAGGAGTTTCTCAATTCGACCGTATATATGCTTTTTTTATGTTTGTTCGCCGATATCTCCGTTGTTTATGAACCGATTTTAAAAATTCTTTTTTTGTTATTGCTCTTAAGTACGTAATAAATCTCATTTAAATAACAATGATTAAATAAAATGGTTACTAGTGTAATCTCCCTGAAACTATTGAAACATACTAATTCCGAATGTTATAGACGACTTGCGAAACAGTCCCTTGCAACTTTGAGCGCTGCAACCGTACGTTACGTTCTTGTTCTAGCAATAGTAGTAATCAACAAACCAGTGAAAATAAATATAAAATCGACCGATTCAAAAACTTATATTTTGTAAATCTACTTTCCCACTATCCGCACAAAAGTAATTCCTAGGACTAGACAGACTTTACAGAATCGACTATATCAAGCGTTGTAAGTGGTGAAATGAATGGCTCCATCGAAATTGTATGACGCGCACACTCTCGCCATTTACACGGCCCCTCGTCAGCCCATTAACGTGTTCGCGCCATGAATCCGAAACGTACAAGTCTAAAGGACATTAATGACGTAATTATTAGTCAATAAAACGTATCCGAATACAGTAAGATTGCTTTTAGTGACGACAAAATAAAATGTCATCGCACGGGTGGCGTAAGAGTAGACTGTATTTAACAATGATCTCTGTTTTGTTCTGTTACACCTGATGCTTTTAAAATGAGATCTCTCTTATAGAGGAGACCCATAGTTTAACAGTAGACGCTCACAAACCGATAATGATTGATGAAGAAATGTCCGCGTCAGGGCTGACTACCAAATGTGACGAATAGGGACAGCAATATGTACTTAACAACCCTAATTTGTAAAGTGCAGTCAACCGCATGCTGGGGGTATCAATTTGACGGTGAGTAATATCAATAGTTTTAAGTCATATCAGCAATTATCCCATGAAATTGGCTAGATCAAGGACCCGGTGTAGCACTTTACAGCAGATACTTTTAAGTATTCATTATGAAGGCCACTCTGTTTAAATAGTGGCTCATTCTGCCTTGGCTAGATTGCTTTTCTATAGCTTTCTTTACTTTAAACACTGTTCAGTAATGAAATCGAACATGATCATGGATACATGGTTGACATGGTGGTTAAGTGGTACCTACATAATTCACTACTACAACTTTCCACGAGTTCTACGTATCCATCTATTTTAACAAGTAATTTTGGCCGCGGAGGACTTAACGGGTTACCGAGGCTCCGGCTCAAAGTGCAGGAGTAGGAACGGGGTGGTTTTTAGTCAGTAAGAGTCTGACACTCCCTCTCGCTTCGCCTGGGCAGGAGAAGTCGTAGGATGATTTCCCCCCTCAAAAAAAAAGCCTGTTGCTCAACAGGAACTGTGATATTAAAAGGTTATTTTCTTCAGGTGGCATCGCATTGCTGTCAGTATTAAAGGAGACTCGGCGACTCTTTTGGTGGATTGTGAACTTAAAGAGACTTTGCGATTAAATCGCCAACCTGGTAGCACATTCAACCTCGCAGGGGCCTTAGTTGTGGGCTCACAGATCACTCCCGACCAATATTATGAGGTAGGTGAACAAGAAACTATTTAAATTATGTAGAATGATCATCACAAGATTTCTAAATTAATAAAACAATATTTTTTATTTCGTTCACTGAAATTCACTGTATTCCATGCTATAAGCCTGCTTCTTTTATTTTTTCTAATAAAACTATTGTATTTGACTAGTTGTCAAATGCTGTTATATTTCCAATTTTTCAATGTTTAACATCAATTTGTTACGGACAAGTCTTTTTATTGAAAAACGCAACAAAATATAAGATTGACGTTCGATTTAATGGCAATACATTTTACATTTTATAAGGACTTAGGAGGGGCTTACTTAAACTAATTCTTTAAACAAACTTTTATTCTTTCATTAAAATCACAGTTTAGTCGCTCTCTACAGTGTTTTACATTCATTAACATGAAATAACTTCATTTACTTAAAAAGGACTAAAACGATTTTTCTTTCGATTCGATTGACACAATTAACAAAGATAATAGAGCGTCTCTAGTTATTAATTAAGAGAGAGAGTAGTCTTAATAAATCTCAGTGCTTAGCTTTTGGCACTTGAAGATGTCATTAATTAATTTTATACCATTTTTATATTGATGTAAAATCGTCTAAATACGTCGGTCTTATGTAAAAAACTAAAAATCACGTATTACTTCTCGTGGTCCGTACTTTGGTCTACAAACAAGCGTGCAGGCAGACACTAAAGTGTACACATACACGAGAGTTTTGATAAATGAAACTCAATATTACTCGAACGTAAGGACGTATTAAATAATTAAAAAAATAATCAAGTAGTACCTAAAATACGAAAATAAGGTCATGCGTAACGACTAAACAGCTCGACCGTTTATGACTGATTTTCGTGTAGAAATAAACAAAGCTGAACGCTACGCTTACGCTAGAAATCTGAAACGAAGTCACATTGATGTAGGTAGTTATTAATATGAATCTTAATGTCTTAGGGTGAAATCGAATTACTGCAATTTGCAAGCACACCAGATGCAGCCTACGACATGTGCATATCAACAGCTCCTGACTGTGAAGGAGGATCTGGCCTTCCATACATTCCTTCACCACAAGTGTCAGCGGCTCAGATTGAACCAGAAATTAAACCTATACTATATGTCGAACCACCACCACAACCCACAGACGTACGTTGACAGATGATATTGTACGAAGGAGGTACGGCATCGGATCATATGGCGCGGACAGATTTGACAGAAATGACTCAGATAATCCATGGCCTACTAGAGAAGCCACCACTCCAGAACCCCAACCATCATGGCAAATATCCAATTCATTCCCAATCGCAAACCAATTCTCGCCTACGGATTCAGGTATCACATTCATATATGTCACTTATATTCTAGTATCTTTGAGAGTACTAGTTTCTGTTTTTGAAAGCTCAACCATTTGTTTCAGATGAAAACAGCATTTTCGGTAGATTCACGGACGATAATGAGTACCTGCCCCCGTCGCCGTCGCAGACTCCTTTTGAAAACGAACCTGTTGAACCCATTGAACCCGTGGACTCTCTAGATCAGACGACTCAAAGAGTAAGTCAAATATAATCAGCAAAATACAATTAATACTGTTATTTAAAATAAATTGAAACGTGAATTTGTGAACGAACCGAACGAGCTTACTTCGGAAATGAGAGATAACGCAAATAGGTTTGTCTTGTCAATTTTAATGAACGACGCATTTATGTGGTGCGTACAAACATTTTTTCGTAATATTCCGACGGCACACCTCAACATTATAAGGGTTTTTAATGGAATTATCATGTTTTTATGACATGTGACATGATTACGTAACGTATCTGGTTTCAGTCTAAACGAGGGGACGATGATGAAGCGGATGGGTCTACGACAACCCTAGCTGTGACGGAGACAACATACAGCCCTATGACGACTACAGAAGATTCAGATTGGCTCACACATCCACCGGAAGTTTACGAAGTGAGATAACATACAGCTTTCATATTTGTTTTAAATGTTACATTGGTACACTGGTACGAAAACGTTTTTACGTTTTCGGTGAAAACGATTTTATTAACTGAGTAAACGTAATACCATTTCATTTTACAAACCGCTAATTTTACTTGTATTCTAGGGCAATTCAACAACAAATTACGATTCATCAGAGACTACTACGACTACGGCAGTTCTGGTACCTACATGGGTCCTCGAGGATACCCTGGTCCACCTGGCCCGCAAGGTCCAAGAGGTCCTAAAGGGGAGCCGGGCAAACCAGGCTTTGAAGGCTCACAAGGATTCCCAGGGCCGCCAGGCAACGTCTTTGTAATTCCTGTAAGTAATTTGTTGGTATTAATACCTATTTATTACATGTCGTTGATCGAGTCGCGTAACGCCATCTATTGAATATGACGTGTACTACTCACTTTCTTGTGGACAAAGGGGCTAGCGAAGTGAAATTGAACTTAAAAGTCATGAACTACAATACCATTTTTTTTTTTACTTAAAATTGAAAACAAAAACTGTCTTAAATAAACCACGTTATTTCAGCTACAACAATCGGGAACTGATAAAGGTCCTGACGCTCAATCGGAAGCTCTTCGACAAATGTTCTCACAGCATATGGTAAGTACGTCATCAAAAATATAAAAAAAATGAGAAAAAGTAATCAATCGATATTATAAAATATTAATTTGCAGGCTGCAATGCGAGGAGCAGAAGGTCCAATGGGTCTAACAGGCCCACCTGGTCCAGAAGGTGATATTGGTCCTGAGGGGCCAAAAGGAGAACAAGGAGAGCAAGGGGAACCCGTAAGTTTATTATTTAACTTTTAACATACTAATGTTATAAAAGTAACTAGGTATACTTTTATTATTGTATCATTTTAGATTTACTTTATATTTTAAATTTTATTTTTCTAGGGTCAACCAGGTCCACGGGGTCTACAAGGCCCACCAGGTAGATTGGGACGACGAGGTCACGCAGGAAGGGATGGAGAAAGGGGATCGCCAGGAGCTCCCGGAACGAAAGGTGAACAAGGCTACCCGGTCAGCCCGGTATGCCTGGTGACAAAGGAGAACGAGGCAGTGCAGGCTTGCAAGGCGAACCAGGTGCACCGGGTCAAGATGGACCACCGGGAGATGATGGTCCTCCTGGACCGCCAGGAATTCCCGGAGAACTGGTAAATAAAACAGTTTTTGAACTGTACAATTATTTATTTGAAGGCAAAATAATTAGACTTGTTTTTCTGCAGGGACCACGAGGTTTCATGGGACCAAGAGGTTTTCCCGGACTTATAGGTTACCCAGGTATACCTGGTCTTGAAGGGCCACACGGAACAAAAGGTGCTACTGGTCAACCAGGTGCCCCGGGCCCACCTGGACAACCAGGAACAATTGGTTCTCCAGGCTCACCTGGTCCACAAGGCCCTACTGGAGCTCCAGGGATTCAGGTAAACTTGTAATCTTTCATTTAGATTAGAATAATGACAATCAACATGTTTATCGGAATCGGAATATGTATTCAACGTTTTGTATACTTCTCAGGGCCCTCAAGGGAAACCAGGTATTTCTGGGTTACCTGGTCCGGAAGGGTCTCCAGGTACTCCTGGAAATCCGGGTCAACAAGGGGCACCGGGCGACGTCGGCCCTCAAGGTGCTCAGGTTGGTGCCAAAAATATTATTGTAGCATTTACCATTTATATTTCAATATAAAATGTTAATAAGTACTATGGCAAAAACTTCGCAGGGTATGCTCGGATTTCCTGGTAGTCGAGGATTGAAAGGAGATGAAGGACCACGAGGTTTACCCGGTGACAAAGGAGACAAGGGAATTAGAGGTACGTATATATTTCATCCTTAATTCCACCACCAGGATACTAAAGATGACGACATAGATTTTGTATTCTAATTATTTTTTATTATTTAAGGCATCGAAGGAGAAAAAGGGGATATGGGACCAAAAGGAGAGCGAGGACTAGCGGGAGAACCTGGTCCTCCTGGAATCGAAGGCCCTGAAGGACAGAAAGTACGAAATAAATCTTATCGACCACAATGCGACAAAGGATTTGCTAAAACTTTACCAATCGACCGATCACAATTTGAGTGAATAATATGGTTTGTATTTTTAGGGTGTAGAAGGACCACGAGGTGAAACTGGGCCTATTGGTCCAGCTGGTGAGAAAGGTGCTACAGGTGCTCAAGGCCCACAAGGATACCCAGGTAGTCAAGGCGAAAAGGAGATAAGGGAGCATCTGGAAGGAGAGGCAGACGGGGTACTAAAGGATTAATGGTAATTACTGCTACACTACGAATTGCAAGAAAAAAGATGATGTTAAGTTTAATTATAGTTCTCCTAATGTATATATTTTGATCACAGGGTTTAGTTGGACAACAAGGAGATCGGGGTGAAACTGGACCACGGGTGAATATCTATTAAAACAAAATAAAAAAGTAAAATTGTCTGAACTAAAACATAATGATCGAATTAATTACTTTGCGTCATCCAGGGCTACAGGGGTCCACGTGGACGCAGAGGTTCAGACGGGCCTCCGGGGCCAAAAGGAGATACAGGTCAACCAGGTCCTCCGGGAGCAACAGGCGAGAGAGGACCACAAGGGTTAGAAGGCGTACGAGGATTCCCAGGTGCTATGGGCCCCCCTGGACCTGATGGAAAAGCTGGCTTGCCTGGCCCACCAGGAGAACGTGGACCAACGGTTAGTAACAAAAATGAATGACACTATCAGGAGCTAAAATACTTATGAAGGACTATCTAAATAAATAAATTATTCTAACTCTTTAATAGGGTGAACCTGGTGCAACAGGATTAACAGGACCCTCAGGCCCTGTTGGCCCACAAGGTCCAAATGGTGAGCCTGGGCCACCAGGGCCACCTGGTGCTTCAGGCATACCAGGAACACCTGGTGATGTGGGCACTCCAGGAGAAGTAGGGAAAGAAGGTCCACCAGGACCACCTGGCCCCGAAGGAAAACCAGGACCAGTTGGATCACCAGGCCCAGCCGGGAACAATGGAGAACCTGGATTGCCAGGAGCAATTGTGAGTATAAAATTAATTCATTAATTTGTCGCTGCTTTGGGAGAAAATAATATGGTATACAAATACACATAAACGTTGAAATAATTATGGTTAATGTGTAATATAAAAATAGTGATGTTTTTGTAACAGGGAATACCAGGGGCTAAAGGCGACTTGGGGCCACCCGGTCCCCAGGTATCAGAGGAGATAAAGGAGAACCTGGTGAAACTGGCAACGAAGGACCACAAGGACCACAGGGTCGTGAAGGCCCTCGAGGATCACCAGGACCAGGCGGACAAAAAGGCGAAATCGGTGAACCAGGCCCAGTAGGTCAGTAATCAATAGATAACCAAAAAGTTCGCACAAATAAAGATTTTGCTTTAAGGTCAACATATGTACTAATGTATTTTTGCTGTCGTATTTAGGGCCAATCGGTCGCGACGGATTACCTGGACCAAGAGGTTTAACTGGAGTACCAGGCCCAGTTGGACCACCTGGTGAAGATGGAGACAAAGGAGAAGCCGGACCACCCGGAGAAAAGGGATTTAAAGGTGCCATGGGAGAAGCTGTACGTACAACAAATCAGAAGATCTTAATTTTATAAAACTTGAACTAAAGATGTACTCAACATTTTTTTTTTCTTTTAAAGGGACCACCTGGCTCACCCGGTATTCAAGGCCTCCGAGGAGAAGCAGGGCCAGTTGGTTTACCAGGTGATAAAGGGCCACCTGGTGACGCAGGCCCTCCTGGTCAACCTGGCACAGATGGCGTTCGTGGCCCTGTCGGGCCCGCTGGGCCAGCTGGACTTCAAGGAGTCAAAGGACAACAAGGCTTTAAAGGAGATATGGGAGACCCTGGAGCTTTAGGTGTGAATTCAATGAATATAATTTGTTAAAACCAATAGTGATAGATGGTTTTCCATTAAAAAATAATGTTTTTTATGCTTTTTATAGGAGCAACTGGCCCAGCTGGTCCCGCAGGCCCACCTGGACGCAGAGGAGCAAAGGGTGTACAAGGAGAACCTGGACCCCGCGGAGCTGAAGGACAACAAGGAGATATCGGTAGCCCAGGACCACCTGGAGCTCCAGGTGTACAAGGCCCTGAAGGAAAATTGGTACGATACAATCAAGATTCCAGATCGTTGATCAAAATGATGAAACTTAAGTTAATATTACAATATATTTGTACAGGGACCTAGGGGACCAGTAGGTCCAAAAGGTGATGATGGGTTACCTGGATTACAAGGTGAAACGGACCTAAAGGACCACCAGGCCCAGAAGGTCCTAAAGGAAACACTGGACCTGCTGGATTTCCGGGTGAACGCGGAGAAACGGGACCACAAGGCATCAAGGGTGAGCCGGGATCAGACGGACCTGAAGGAAGCACTGGGCCACCAGGAGCACCAGGTCCTGTAGGGCCACCAGGAAAACCCGGAGAAACTGGCATGCCCGGCAATCCGGTAAAGTATAACTTTGAATATATTAAAAGTATTCCTCTAATGTATAATTAATGCATACTTAATGTACTTATGATCTGATGTAAACTTTGTAGGGTACAGAAGGGCCAGCGGGTACTCAAGGAAACCCTGGATTAACCGGAGAAAAAGGTGATATGGGCCCGAAAGGGGTTCCTGGCGAACAAGGACCTAATGGACCACCCGGACCACCAGGGCCAGAAGGACAACGAGGTCTACGAGGACTACCGGGTCCCATTGTGAGTATACAAAAAAGTACATTTAGAATAATTGAACGTGAGGCACTGAAAAAGGTTCAAAAAAACAATTTGAATATAATTATCTTGTCATTTACAGGGTGAAAATGGCGCTCCAGGTATAATGGGACCTGCTGGTCCTCCAGGCAAGGCGGTCCTCCTGGTAATCAAGGTATAAGAGGCGAAAAAGGCAACAGGGGTCCAAAGGGTCATATTGGTGATACTGGGCCAATGGGACTGAAGGGCGACCAAGGCGAGGTTGGCAAACAAGGCTTACCTGGCCCAATGGGACCTGCTGGCCCCAAAGGCGACATGGTAATACCACCACCATATTATTTCAGACCACCGTATCCGCCTAACCAACTGCATTCAGGAATTCAAAATTAACGCTTATTTCCCAGGGCCCAATCGGACCTCCTGGACCAAAAGGTGACACTGGGCCAGTAGGACCTCCTGGACCTGAAGGTCAACTTGGACCGAAGGGTTCTACTGGACCAGAAGGACGGCCAGGTACTCCTGGACCACCAGGAACCCCAGGACCACCTGGTCCACCAGCTCCAGCGCCACAAATACCCGCTGAATTATTCACATCATACACTAGACGGCGTCGAAGTGTGGAGTTGCAATCTATGGAGTCCGTCACTGAAGATACTTTTGAGGAAGGTAAGTAAAATCAGAACCCTCTCTCGATCTCTCCCGTTGACGAAGAACCTAAATACAGAATGTACAAGAGGACAAAATTAATCAACTTGGATCTAATTCAGAACCTTTACGTACCTAATAATGAAAACTCAACCTCATTCATGCTCTTTTCACAGAGGAGGACATAGAATGGGTAAAAGAAATCATGACCGGTGTGTTGTCTGCTCGCGGTGCACTGGAAGCAGCAAGGCGGCCTCGAGGGACCAGGAGTTATCCAGCATTGTCTTGTCGAGACCTCAGAACTTCTCACGTCAACCTGACTGATGGTAAGAGCAAGAACATCTTGAAATATTGATATAAAGGGTGATTTAATTGGTACCTAAATGGATAACATACTAAAAAAACAATTATTGGTAAATCACACGATGAGTCGTTTCGTGGTGAATCCCTCTCCCTGCATGATCAATAAAGAAGTCTCCTGTCCCGCTATCTCTTAATTTTTAACACCTAATGATGGGATTAGATATACATATGTATTGGCCTTCACGCTCCATCCCCAATTATGGCGATAATAATTATGATAATATCTAGACTTGGCTCACGAGGTTGTCGACATGTGGAATGTGGATTCGGCTATCATTGTGCCCACAGTAGTGTCGGCCAATGGGTTAATTCCTAACAGCCTCGAAATCCAGGTGGTTGTGAGTCTTCTAAGGTTAGAAGGCTGGCGTGGGGCGGATGGGTCAAGGGTTGATACAGAAGGCAGTTCTCCTTGAAACTCGCATCCTGGGGTTTCTGTTTCTGGAGCCCTAACCACCGGTAACTTGGACCGGACTGTGCTCCAGCTGGTTGGCTCCTATTTTTAAATATTATTCTTCTGTTTTTTTAGGTAGTGTTTAAATAATGTATTTTTTTTATAATTTTAGATCTACAGGGAGCCAAAATTCAATTTGTTATTTACCTCTTCCACAGGCTACTACTGGATAGACGCTCGCGGGGGAGCAAGCAGCGGACGGCCCATCAAAGTATACTGCAAAGGTCACAGCACCTGCATATACCCGGATGAAAGAGAACCAGCTGTCTTTACTACTGATCCTACTGCACACAAGTTCTCACAATCTGAGAATGGCTACAGGGTAAATATCTTCCTACAAACTTCATAGGGGATTTACATTAATTATAAGCAATGTTAGATCTAAACTTTACCTAAATTTTTCGAAATGAAAAACTTTATAACACTGCCTGAATCGAATTCATGTCTTTTTACTTAGTAAAAACATGCTATTATACAAAGCATGGATTGTTTTAAATAGACAGTAAAGAGCTAATTACTTCAAAGATAAATGTAGCATTAGAATCAATTAGAATAATAAATTAACATCAGATATTTCGAATGTAACATAACGTTTTCCGTAACTAAAATGGGAACTTATGTTTTTCAGCTTACATACGAGGGTGAAGGATCTGGTGCCATACAACTTCGCTTTTTGAGATTATTGTCGAATGGAGCGAGGCAGAACTTTACATATTCTTGCGTCAACACCCAGGCTCCTCTGCAAAGGTACCATTTTTATTATAAATAGAGGTACACTTGAGCGCAAAGAAATTGAGTCACAAACATTTTTCCTTTTTTATTTCTTTTTAAATATTTTCGGATACAAGTACGTTAAAAGGCAATTTAGTTACCTTTAAAATAAGAGCATTTAATTGTAAAAGGAATATTTATTAAAAGATAACTTTTCAAAAGAGGTTTCTATAAATTTTAAAAAATTCTAGTGCTTCCCTTTTTTTGCTCCCAAGAGTCCCAATGTCCCAATAATCTATTATAATAGAATTATATTATAATAATAATTATTATTATTATAGTACTGAATGTAATCAGCCTAGGGTCTGAATACTGCAATGCTACTCAATAATGTCGCGCATAGTACTGTCACTACAATATTTGTAAAATGATAGAGATGACACCATATTTGAGTAATGAGTACAACTTAAAATTGAGTAACCATTTAGTATCCGAGTGTAGAAGTTCGGTATACAGATAAATTACCTGAATACCAAACTACTTGGCCAACTACAACCAATAACAAATCAAAGAACATTTTATAACAACATGTAAATAGATTATTATAATAAAATTCTTCCTTATACGGTTTCAGGTCCGACATTCCCAGTGATTTGACGAGGCAGAACAACTTGAAACTTTTCGGTTACAATTCCGTCGAATTCCGTGAACCGCTATTGATCAGAGACGACTGCAAGGTACAGTATTCAGTATTTTATTATGTAGGTACTACTATCACCTCACAAGCACATTTCCATAATAGATACTTAATTAACTCAGGATAAAATCTAACGCATATGTTAGTATTTATTATACTCGCTTCTGCCTACGGCTTCGCCCACATTCCCGCCGTGGAATAAAAAGCAGCCTATGTGTTATTAGAGTTTTACAGATCATAATATGTATATCCCTGTTTGCAATTTCAACTCGACTGGCCCCTTTCACCCGATTTCACGTAATTGAGTAACAAACATACACACAAACATTTGCTAATGTGTTCACGACACTTGCTATTCTTTTTTGTGGTTTTTCTCCCTGTCCCTAAGGGGTCATCCTTAATTTACGTCACACGAGTTTCATGATTTTTTGCCCCTCCCTGTCCTTGTCACAGTTTGCAGAATTACGTACGTATAAAAATTATTGAATGAGAACAGCAGTTGCGAAATCAGTTTTATTTCTATTTAAATTACTTTAAAAAAATATTAATACCAAATCAAACAAAATAAAAAACATTAATACTAATTATATTTCGTGTTTTATAATAGTTTTTGAAATGTGACATCACAAAGTTTAGGATCCCTCCCTTCCCCTTGTCACACAATATCACACTTCGTCGACCCCCTCCCTACCCCTTAAAGTGTGACGTAATTTATGGACGGCCCCTAATCAAGGTTTTAACGTCATCTAGAACAACTTTCTTATAATTTTTGAGTATTTTTTAACCGACTTCAATTGATATTCCAGGAGGGCACCGGCGAAATAGTGCTTGAAATAAAGACATCACGTACTGATAGACTGCCAATTAGCGACTTCCAGCCTCTATCGTTCGTAGACGCTGAACATCAGTTCACGTTCACTCCTGGACCAGTCTGCTTCACATGACATTTGAACTTCATAAACTTTGCAAAAACACATGTAAATAAGGATAGTTTTAACATTATGTACTTAAGAGAGAACCTTTGTAAATATTGTAAATAAATGTTGTGACGACCTTTACTTTCATTCAATATTATTTACAAGCCTATAGCAAGATTAATAACGCTAGTTAGTATAAGCTCGCCCCAGTGCGTTTCGCGTTCTCGTGTGCGCTTTAGGGTCGTCGAGTATTGAGTGTACGCTCGCGCGCGCGCCGACTTCAACTCTCGACAAAGAAGGAACCACAGAACGCCTGACGCGTTGCCAGGCTGGCTTCAGTTCGAAGAGCAAGAGTAAGAACGGAGTGGTTAATAGTCAGTAAGATTCTGACTCACCCGCTCGTCTAACCCAGTCATCCAATTACTTCTTCATTGTATGATTTTCCCCCTCAACAAAACTAATTAAACCACCACAGTATGTATAAAATGAAAACAATAACGTATCGTTTCTGAAAGACGTATTTATTGCTATGATTATGATGACCGTACTGTAACTTATATACTTTAAAATAAAGTTAAAATTAAACTTACAATTAATATTGACATAAATCAACAGTATAACTTTTTTATAACTATAACCTGTAAACGTAAGTAAGATGTTCCAGTTTCATTAAATGATAATAAAACAAAAATAAATTATGTATTCGTTTCAGCGCATCCCAAATCAAATGCCAAATATAAGGCGCAGCGCAGACGACACACTATCCGTGACGCATTTTTTAGTCTGTGATAATAGAACCCATGCAATTATGCACATAACGCGCAAAAGGTCCGGCGTACAAACAATCTGTATCTAAAAAACTTGAACGCTTGCAAAATTGAAAGTTTACTTCAACACGCGCTGGCGTAGACGGCGCAAACTTTAGTCGGCAATCTGCATTTGCTAGGGGTGGACGTAACGCACGCTATTTATTATCATGGTGCCAGAGGTCGATGTAACGATGTTAATTCAATAAATAAAAAGCAAGAATAGCAATTTATGATTTGTCTTAAAATAAATAGCAACTTATCAAATGTAGTAACAGACATTTATAAAATTTGCAAAATTTTTCCGGATGTTGTTTCAGAGTTGTCCGTCTGGTAGATTATTTTAAAACATTAGACACGTATTTTTTATTTTCTTACAGAAACGAATACTTTCGATGATATATTGATTTGAAATGTCGCGTGACGTCACTTCTATGTACATTTTATACGTAGAAATGACATTTTAGCCCCCACTACTAAACTTTGATTCGTTTTATCTAAGTATTGTTTTATTATACGGCAAAATAAAAAAATACGTGTCTAATATTTTTTCATTACCTACTTACGGACTAATTAAATTTTTAATTTTCATACCCTGTCATCATCCCAATTGTGACTTCAGTAATCTTTCTCTAAATTCTCTATTTCTTTTTCTTTTGTGTACTTCATGTACAAAATAATACTTCGCGATCTCTGCACGATTTCCATAGCGTCTACGTCACTACAGCTAAGCTCTGCCGACAGAATGATCGAAGATAAGATATGCGTCGTGTGCGTTGACTCTGAAAAATCCGCGATTTTTTGTGCGCCGCAGACTCAATCGCACAAAAAGTGTGCTGACTGCGCTGCACCTAAATCTAATTTTAATTTACGAATGACTATAAATATCTTCATAAAAATCAGAACATATTGCATTCGATGTGGCGTAGGCGTGGTACACCTCTATCTACGTACCTACCTCAATTAGTTATACAAAACTAGAACTGACAATCAGATTATCCAGATATATCCTACATAGCCAGTATATTGATATTTTATAATAAATATTTATTTAATATAGTTATGTATGAACAAAAGTAAAATTCTTATAATTCAGCCATCGAAGATAAACCAACAAGCTAAACAAGTTGCAATATTTGTAGTACTTCAATAACTTTTATTAGTTTTATATTTGTTTATATATACATGCACACAGCACAACAAACTATACCAAACCAGTATAAACTGGCCATTGAATGTGCTGAGAGATCATTACAAAGCATAAACTGAATTTGTATAGTTCGAGGTGCAGCCGTGAATACCCCATACTAAGTAACTGCAGAGCACCACACGCGATTATATACATACATCTTTGGCTTCCTCGACATCCACGCATCACGTCACTCACACATACCAACAATAATTACTCTGCACTAACACTTCAGTCATATTTAGCAAAATAAATTGTAACTACCCGTTTAGGTACTGATTATAATGCTACTTCAGGTTTTCCTGTATGTGAATGGGCCTCGACCGTCTCTGTAACAAGAGGCTCATCAACATCCATAGGTTCTGGTGGATCCAATCAGGACAGACAGGAGCACTACTAACAATGTCCTCTTGTAATTCTCTGATGCACCATGTACTTCAACTTGTAATGAATCTGCCTTGATATTACCTCTGTTCTCTTTTCTACTATTTCCATCTTTAAATTTTACTTTATCATTAATTTCTAGGCACTAAGTTTATCCTTACTATTCTCTGTTTCAAATACTATCACAGGCAATTCATTATCTGTATTTTCTTCCGGGTTAACGGCTACATTTCCAACAACTGTTTCATCGATTGAAATGAGATCATCTTTAAGATTAATGCAAGTATCGCTAGGAGAAAGTGCGTCTACTTGAGTAGAGGGCGTGTCCACATCTTCGCAGGGTATTCAATCTCTACAGCAAGTGTATTGTGTTCTGCCTTCTTATTTTCGCCACTTTCGTTATCTGAGGACGCAAGAAGATTATCTTCAACGGATTTAGAACATTCCACAGTCATGTCATTTGCAGGGTTCATGTCAGTATCTTCCAAAACAAGTTCAATTTCATTACTTGGAAGGTCAGTTTTATTATTTAGCTGAACATCTAGTTTTTTAGATGACACACTATTCATTTTATCAGCTTCACTCTCTGAATAGCTCGAATTTTCGATACTAATTACGTCACTTAGTTCTTTACTGTCATTGTCAGAGTCCAGTGAGTCTGAAATAGCTATTAGACTATCAGAGTCTGAAGATTCCTGTGTGGATGTATCTTCATTACCTTTATGCAACTTTTGCAACAATTGAAGCTCATCTACATCTGACTCTAAATCTAAATCTTTACTATTTTCACTACTTACTGAAAATGTTTCAGCATTCTGAATGTCCTTGTCTGTATTTTTACTTGAAACCAAAGTTTCAGTGTCTTCTTTATCACCTTTAACTTCTGTTCCTTTAGTAGTTTCCTCTGTTAGACTAGTGTTAGGTTCTTCTAACGGTTGGTTCTCTTTTCCTTCACTAGGGCCTTTGGATATCTCCTCTATTAACCGCTTCAATCTTTCCTTTCTTTTGCCCTTGTTCTCTAAAGAAACACTATTATCATCATCATTAGCATCTTCATCTTCACTTTCTACTGGTGACTCTTCAGCTTCCTTATCTCCTATTTCTTCAGCTTCCAATTTCATTTGATTCTGTCGGTCAGCAAACCTGGAATACGCAGAATATTTCGTTTATTATAATGACCATTTTGAACATAATCTTACCAGTATTATAAATGCGAAAGTTTGTGAGATTGTGTGAACGTTTGTTACTACTCAAGCACGTCAAAATGACAAAATTTGGAACAGGAGTAGAATATTATCTGGAATACACATAGGCTACTTTTTCTGCCACGGGACCGTAAGCGAAGCTGCGGGCAAAAGCTAGTTTTGTATAAGAATACCTTGAAGGTTTTATGCCATCGTTTTACGAAATTAAGACAAATAAAAAAATTATGAATCACTTTGCATATAATAATTTTACATACAAAAACTTGAGTCATCTTAAATACCTTTTTAGAATAGTAAAATTTATAAATTAAATAAAATCGCACATACTTATTAAATATTTCAGTCTCTTTATTGGATGCGAGCTTTCTGTTCACTTCAAGCTGATGCCTCAGCTGCTCATTATTTTCAGCTGGGTCTCCTACATCTAACGTAAGTCTTGAAGCTGCTAGCCGCCATTCATTCTCTTGTCTACGCCTTTGTAGTTTCTTACCGCATCTTGTGAACAAGTCTCGAGCTGTAAAAAGTAAAGTTTAGCTTAACGGTGTTTTTTTATAAAACGTTGCTATGGAGGATAGGATTTTTTCTAGGATTCTTTCTTGTGTCGTGAGTGTGTTTACATACAAATGACACCCGGAACAATAATCTGTAAATCACGCAAAGAGTTGTTCCGTGAGGGAATCGAACCCGCCACACGTTGCGCGGCAGCCAGTTGCCAACCACCGCACCAAACGTGCAGTTGTTGATATGAACTAAAAATTATAACAAGAACAATATTAAATTTGTCCTCCACAGTCTGTGTCGAACTTGTATAATTTTTTATTGCGATTGTGATAAGATTTTAAGCAACTAGTATGAGTTAACCTTAGATCCTTAACTGATATCATCAGTATTTAAAAAATATATAATTATAATAAAGTCAGTTTAATAAACATATGTCCAAATATTCAAATGCTGCTTAATTTTATTTGAGCTTAAGTATAGTTCTGTCACTACAAATTCTTAGTGAAATGACAGAGATGGCACGATATTTAAGTACATAATAGTAACTAAGACAATATGGATTAGCAAGCAAAGTACTATATGGATTTACTTTAAATTTTGCATGAATATTACGAACAGGTCGGTTCAACATATAGGCTACATATTATCACGCTATGATTTCTGGTCGAAGTCGCGGGCACAGTAAAATATAAATAGTAAATATCCTTACCCTCTTCCATAATCTGTGCCTCGTTCCAACACAATTTGTCTTCATCATTTGCCTCTCTTACACATCGGAGCACATCGTGGAAATCTGGGAACGGCAGTGGAGTGCCAATAGGTACCTTTTTGTTGACCCACTTTTCAAGTCGTTTAGCCGGACCAGCCGGTTGCCCTGGTCGCGATTCCACTGTAATACGGGGCTCAGAAGGCATTTTTGTGTTTGTTAATTGACAGAATTTCGCGTAAACTCGTACCATCCTTTCTTTATACCTAGAAATAGAAAAATTAAAACATTAATCATTGACAATCTATAGACAACAAAAACCAGTTTTCGTGTTCCCTTTTCATCGATGCTGCGGATCCTTTAACAGATCTACAACATAAAACAAATGTACATCATTACCTCAATAAGCGAAGAAATCGGACGCCTAGTTTTTTCCAAAATTTTCAAAACATGACATTCTACAACAGTACACTTGACCTAGTTTTATAAATGTACTGATAATTTGATAGGCTGCTATGTTTATTCATAATTTACAATTACTCAATCAACTGTTCGAATAATAATAACTGTAGAGAACCTACTAACAAGTAATAAATAATTTACGGCGATATAAAGTACCTTTCAGTCATAAATAAACTGAGTCGTCTTCATCATCAAAGTCAACCTCATGTTCTTCCAATTTCTGTATAGCTCTGTGTAGTTTCTTTATAGTCTTCTCTAGTTTACGTATTTGCCTTTGACGTTTTGTATCAAACTCATTTTCATCTCCAAACTGAAACTGATCTGACTCTGGAAAAAACAAAATGGCAATTAACAATATAATTATGTTTATTACTCTTTTGAAACAAAAATCGATAGTGTTTGTTTGTCAAGTTTTACTAAAAAGACATTATAAACTCCATAAGACTCTATAAATACCAATGTGAAAGTTTCAAGTAAAAGCTTTCTTGTTTAAATTAACCCACAAAATACTTAACCCAATCAGAATGGCTCAAAAAACAACATGAAAAATAAAAGGCTTTCAACAATTAAATTAAGTCACATTTTATAAATATAACAATACATAACATAGTTACCTTCAGGTACTTTCTCCAAATTCACTACTTGTGGTTGTGATTTAGTTCTTTTTCTCTGCATATTAAGTTCATCAACAATATCTTTTATAAACAAATACATCTTTTCAGGGCTAGCTTTCATTGCAACTATTTTACTTTTAACCATGTCAATGAACTCCTCAGATTCTGTGTATTCTTTTGGGACTTGTCTGTAATAACCTTTGATTTTCTTTTCTACTATTTTATTCATATCTTCAGAATTTTCTAACTGGAAACAGACATCAATAAAGTTCTGATATACAGGATGAAATTCACCCTGGACACTAGTACTAGGCACTTCAACTGCTTTTTCTCTTGATCTCGAGTCATTTGATACTTTAGAAGTACCATCTCTTTTACTAGATTCTGTCTGTTCAGTCACAACACTAACTTCAGGAATATCATTATTGTCATCTTTATCTGCACTCTTTTTATTTAATTCAAGACCTTCCCCAGTAGGTATTTCAATTTCAATTTCTAGCGTTTTTCTACTCTCTTCATCTTCTTTAGGATACTCCAATCTCTTTCTACTGTTTGGAGATTTAGCAATAATAGATTCTTCTTCACTCCCACTGTGAGATCCATTCTTATTTGCTACTACTTTGATAGGACTGTCATCAATGGTAATAGCCAGTTCAGTACCAATTTCACAAGTCCTTTTATTTGTCATTGGTTTAATGGGACTATCCTCTATTGTTATTTCAATCATCTTAGGACCTTCTGGTTCTTTGTTATTCTCTTCTTCTAATGTAGAAGTTTCTTGTTCTTCTGGTCTTAAATACCATGCAGGGCCAGGAGGAGCTGGTTCATTGATAGAGCTTTCATCATCATCTAATTCAACTGTAGGGACTACTGGTTTTGTGTTTGTAATATTTTTATTAACTTTCATATAAATAACTGGTTTATGAGCAGGCTTAGGAGTTCTCTTTACAGTTATACTAGGTGGTAATTTGATTGGATTAGTTGCTTGATTTATATTATTCAAAACTGCAGGAGCAATATTTGCAATTTTTATTGGATGTCTAATAAAAGCCGCTTTGTTGGCTGGAGCGTTTTGAATTTTAACAGATTTAGGTAAATTATAAAGTGGTTTTGAAATCACTGTTTGTAACGGTTTACCATTGAGTTTAGTTTTGTTTGCAAATGGATTGGTTAACAAATTTGAAATTCTAGTAACAGTTGTTTTTTTCTTAGCTAAAGGGGTAGCTGGTTTTAATATTCCAGATGTTTTTGATGTAACAATTTCTTTTGGAGAAAATACTTTTGTGGCGCTGGTAATCTTTTCAGTGGCGTTGCTTTGGCAATAGTTACTCCTTCTGTCGCAGATAACGTTTTTAAAATAGGATCATTCTTTTTTGAGGGCCCAGATTTTCCAGGTCCTCCAGTTACTTTTAATTTAGTACTAGTAGGCTTTATTGTGACCTCATTAAACTTGTACCTTGGTATGCACACCATTGCATCTGGTTTGGGTTTACTCTGAAACAAAATTATTACTTCATCAAAACACTGATGGTGTTTATTTTAACAACTTGGTATGAGCAAATAAACCTCCCTAAACGTGAATGTAAAATAGTCAGAAAACATGATTGATACCTTTTTGGGAGCCGGTTCAGTGTCATCGTCCGAAGATCCTAATTCTATCACATCTTCACTTGCCATTATGCTTCAGTTATACATCCAACGAGGTTTCAACATTCAACATCAGAAAACATATACAAACATCAAGATAGAAATTTGCCCATTACACTAAAATTATAGTTCAAAGGTGGTTTACAGTTCAAATAATAAATTGTCTTTCAGCGACACCCAACACATCAGAATGAAAACGAAAAACATTTGACATAATTTTTGGGGGCTGCCACTTCATTGACGCTTGATTGAAGCATTATGCAGCAATAGTTGCCATATCTAAATAATATTATATTTTTAATTTTCTTTAACCAGCTACAATTCTTAGAACCTCTACAATACCTAATTTTTCAATTAAAATATATTTCTATTCAATTTTCTATTCATAAACACATTGATTTTCAACAATGACCACCTATTGTGTGTGGTTAAAATTCAATTTATTCTTCATTTGAAGAAAATGTGTTTATTTTTCTTTTACAGTCGAATAAAAAATACAAACAATTTAATAAAACTCTTGATTTCTAACCACCTTGTTGAATATCCACGTTTACTGTCAGTGTCACAAAAATTATGGGGTTTACTGCTTGGTGATTGGTCCATTTGTCTTCATATTTTTTCTTTTTGTTAGGTTTGCCAATAAAATAAAAGAGCTGATTATTTTATTTACAAATTGCAATCTTCCTAAATTGAAGTTTCGTACAAAAATTTAAGCTGTCAAAATAGATCGTGGTTTTATTTCTAATAATTTCTATTTTATCGATTAGTTAGGACAATGATTAAACTTTTTTCATTAAAACAACAAAAGAAAGATGAGGAAGGCTCAGCAAGAGCAGGAGGTTCACAGAAAAAAGCGTCAGCCGCTCAGTTGCGGATTACAAAAGGTAAAGTTCAGAAATTTTAACAAATATACGCGTTGTGTACTCATTGTTGGTATAATAATTTTGTGAGGATTTCCTACGCAAAATCTAAATAACCTACTTACAGTTAACTGTACGTTGATGTTAGGGGGTAGATTCTTATATGTTAACATCTAATAATTTTCTAATTGCTTCCTCCAGACAAGTCTTACTGTACTGGATGACTGAATTGTTTACAGTATTATTGGCCTAATAACTGTTTTTTTCCTTCCAGATTTGAATGAATTGAATTTGCCCAAGACATGCAATACAGAGTTTCCAGACCCAGATGATTTACTTAATTTCAAACTAATCATATGCCCTGATGAAGGATTCTATAGAGGAGGGAGATTCATATTTAGTTTTAAGGTAATGTCGCCTTGCATGAAACTGGTTTACAAATGATATGAAAATTTCAAAACCATGTTAGACAAAATAGAGCATTGTAAGCAAACATGTTTTATGGTTGTTTTGTGACCTATAAACTAGGAGACAGACTATAATGCTTGTATTTAGGTAGGCTTTAAGATCTATGAATCACAAGTGTTATTCATAACATTTACATTATTTGAAACTGCCTAAGACACAAATTTGTCACCCAAGAGTTTTGTTATGTTCTTGTCCTCTTTGATTTGTGGTATTTAGTTATTGTTCTCCAATAAGAATAATGTAATGATTGACATTAAAACCTTCTTTTATGCAAAGACCAACAAATATATCTTATAGAAAACCTTAGAAACCTGCAATTCATGTTTTATATATCAACTAGTGAGACTTACAGAACATAATGAAGTTTTCCTAATATTTTAGAACTATAATTGTATTGTGTATGTTTTCCTGCTATATATGTTTGAATTGGTGTTACAGGTAGGACCAAACTATCCTCATGAGCCTCCAAAAGTGAAATGTGAAACAGCTGTATATCATCCGAACATAGATTTGGAGGGCAATGTGTGTTTGAACATCTTAAGAGAAGACTGGAAACCTGTGCTTACTGTCAACTCTATAGTTTATGGACTCCAGTATTTATTCTTGGTATGTTTGTGTTACTTATGTCTAAAATATAACACAATTAGCTGGTATCAACAGCCTCAACCTCTTGTATGCTGTTTTATGAGGCACATTGTAACTGGCACAGATCTACATTCCGGCATACCACGGGTAAACTGTTTGTGTAAGGCAGAAGAGTAGCCTATATTAGTCTCCTACCCCTAGTTATACTAAAAATGCACCCACATTGTGTTGTGAAAGAAATATAAACAAAAACTTGCATTTCTAATATTAGAAAAGGCAACTTTTTATAAATAAATTATCAGTTCACTTTGCACAATGTATAAACTGGACCTTCTTGTTGCAAAAACGTAGCCTGTTAGCTAGAGCCTCTTAAATAGTTACTAATCTTCAGACACAAAGATCATAACTACTTACTATAAAGTTTGAATGACGATTTGATGTGATAGTATGTCAATTACACACACTTTCATATATAAATGCTTCATTGCGTTCCACAATGTTTAACTTAGCTATACATAGAATATCTATAATACTACTAAGACAACAATACCATAGCACAGTATAATTACATATTAATCACTACATAGTATAAAACAAAGTCGCTATCCACCGTCTGTGTGTCCTCCTATGTATGCTTAGATCTTTAAAACTATGCAACGGATTTTGATGCGGTATTTTTTAATAGATAGAGTGATTCTTAAGGAAGGTTTATATGTATAATACATGCATATTGCACCCGTGCGAAGGGGTGAGTTGCTAGTAACATAATATAAACAACACTTCAAAATTCCTGACAGATTTTTTTAAGGATTCCATGAAATAGAATTACAAACTATGTATGGTATTTTTTGGTAACTGGTTGTACCTACTTAATGAAAATCTTTCAGCCTTAGTATGATTTGTGTTTAAATTAAAAACATGATTATACAATAATTTCGACACTGATAAAAGACAATGACTAATCATTTCGAGAACTGATAAGTTCTCAGTGGCACTCTAAAAGCTATTAATGTAAAATTATGTCATGTATTGATGCCCAGCATTTAAATTAAAGGGGAAATTACCTTGTTTTCTTTATATATGGTGAAATAAAAATAAGTACCTATTTGTGTAACTATACCAGTATAGTTCTGATTCTGTGTCAACAATTTTTATCATAAATATTGTATCTTACTAATATTAAAATGTGTTGTTGTTTGTGTGTTTGTATGTATGTTTGTCACTCAAATACGTCAAAACGTTGAACGGATCGGGATAAATTTGGAACAGGGATAGGTTATGGTCTGATGCAGCTTTATCTGCTACTGCCCTGTCTCTGTGAAATTTTAATTTGTAGTTCTTATAACACCCGCTTAGATGGTTAGTAGGTGTGAAGATAAATTTATTATATTTAGTGACGTCTGTATATAGGATAGAAAACAAAATCGAATAAATACAAGCAGTCTACAAAGGTTGAAAGGTTTTCATCTGAACTGTATTTTATTGGAAACAGGGGCCCATCTAATGAATTTGCAACGGGTCCCGAACTGTATAGTTACGTCATTGCTTATAACACCTTATTGACTTTATGCTTTCCCATACTTCGCATGTATGACACATAGTTGACTAATAAATGAATGTTTTGCTTCATTCCTTAGATTATTATAGTTAACATACAAACCATAACATCACGTTTATTGTTTCGTAAGGATGTGCAGAGTATTGTATTGAAAAGTGCAGTTATACCCATTCTCCAAATTGTTATTAGCTCTAGTTCAACTTCCTAACAATGTCGAAGATTTTATAATAGAAAAAAGACCATAATGCTGTTCAGGTAGAATTGTGGGATTTTCTATCCCATGGCGGTAGTACCACCGCGACATTGAAATAACAATTCTTGGTCGTGAATTTCTTTTTTTTAATCTTTTTTGTCGTCTAAGTTAGCGATCGGTGTCTATCGAGTCGAGAGACCTCAAATTCGGTGAACTTGCGAATATTGTTATGTAGCTATTTGTGTTTTATAACTTGAATAAATATATTTGTGTTTTTTGCAGGAACCAAATCCCGAGGACCCTCTAAACAAGGAGGCTGCGGACGAGCTGCAAAGTAACAGGAGGTTGTTCGAGCAACACGTGCAGAGAGCGATGCGAGGCGGGTACGTCGGCTCTTCCTACTTCGAGAGATGCCTCAAATGAAATCGCAACACAACTGTAAATTAATGCTACCAACCCTATATAAATAAAACAATCTCACTTTAAATTAAAGTATTTGATTATTTATTCAACAAAAACAAAAAGTAAGGATTGACGTATTTACAATGTCAATATCATTTATTTGTATTTGAAAGAGTTCAGAATCCTATATTTTTATACACTATTAATTTAACAAATATTTTCTTTTTATTATATTCATGCGGATGTGCCTGTTAACGGCTAAATCTCGTAGAATTTTAAATTATAAACCACTAAATTAATTCGATTTTTTTATTTTAGTTTGTAAGTTTGCGTGTAGATGGCTCTTATTAGATTATTTTTAAATACACACGTAGATGGCGTCACTTGATAGTTTCCGATAGTAATGACTCTCAAAAATAAACTATCAACCCTTTAGGATGACAATGCAACTCCATGCTCCTTGCATTGACTATGAACATCCCCTAATATGCTCTCTGATTGACAAAACCAGTAATGTACTACTCAATTTTACTGTGTGGACCTTACGTATGCCACATAAGACACAAATTAGCTTGTACAGGTGGCAATAAGGTTTGACAACCCACGTTTACTACGTTACGAGACAGGCGAGTGAATGGGTCGTGAGACGAGGTTATAGTTGGTTCGAAGCGCTAACACAGGGCAACGGCGCCGTGGCAGAGTGGCGCGAAGTGAGCCGCGATCAAGGGCCGGCCGCGTGAGTCAGTCGCGCCGAGTGAGCACCGTGAGCAGCGCCCGAGCGCCAGTCGCCAGTGTTACTCTGAACGCCGAGCCATTCGCGCACACCCGTCACTCAGTACGCTTTCTCCACACGGCAGCGTGCTCAAGGCAGAGCTGTTTCGACACGGCACTCGGTTGCGAAAGTGTGCGCGATGATATACAAGTGAGAGCCGACATCGGACGCCAGGGTAACGCTCATCGCACACGGTGAGCCAGTTTGTTCGACGAGAGACATTCGAAACTCGCCAGCTGTGAGGGACGGGGGGCGCGCGACGCCGTCGGGTCGTACACGCGGGACCAACCTTTAACACATACTTACTTACTCCGAGAGAAGCAACGGAAACCAATTTTTAATGTGTCAAGTCAGTATAGCTTATTGCTGCTACGTCAGATCGCTGAACGCCTCGAGCAAGAACTACAAGGTTATGCAAATGAGTTCTGAACGCTTCTATACCAGGAATAATCAAAAGACCATTCATAACTTCAATAAACTTTAACGTTTACGTTGTACCTTACGGTGTATAAGTGCTTATCTATCGTTTCTCTACCTTAAATTATCTTTCGGTGTCGCGTTCGCTAATTGCTAATTACTGTGGAAGTCGAGTGATAAGGAGTGTTGACTGAACGAGCATTCGTCGTACGGAAATCAGAGCTGTTGTATCCAGCGACGACAATGGCGGCCCAGCAGGAGGAGAGCCTGCTCTCGCGATGCGAAATCCCCATCATCGACCTGGCGCATATAGGTAAGCACCTGCAGCCTACTACATGCAACCTTCACAGCAGCGCCGCCTGCGCCGCTCTCATCAGCGAAAGTCCTGCATTGAACACTACATAGGTATATACACCTCACTATACATTCACTTGGAAAAATTTTCGGTTAGTGCCTGTCGGTATTGCGTAATTTTAGTAATCAGTTAAGTATACCTACTTAATTTAAATTTCAATGAGATCGCAGATAGAATTTTTTTGTCAAAACTGCTTATAAAATGTCGAGGGAAGTAACATTTGTTAGCGTCAAGTAAAACGCGTCTACCTACGACCTTCCCAGCTTTATTAGAATTTTTATAATAAAGAATGTTAAGCCAGATAAATACAAATCCATCAAGTTGACTACCTGCCGACCCTTCGGTATAATAAGGGGACCCTCCCGGTGTCTCGCGTGCAACCCGACAGTCGACCGACAGCTGTGCACCGATGGTTTATTTGTTGTCATTAAACAATCTCGGCATCCCGCTCTCGGGTTCAAAGACCGGACACCCAGATCTGAACCGTTCATCGCAGTTCATCCGCCTAATTCCAAGATAAATTAAAGTTTTATCGTTAATTTATGTTATCCTAATGGCTCAAGTAAACTGTGGACGTCTAAAGAGGGCACTACCTCTTATGAGGGCTATAAATGTTTATTGTAAACAAAGGAGGGCTGCTTTGAAGCGAAGCGATGAGTAACTGGGATTTGCATGCGTTTACTTACGTTTACGTGTCCTATATTGGATCAGTTTATATTCAGCACGTGTTAAATGAATCAACAGGAGTAAACTAATCCGAAGGGAAATAGCAACTTATTCATACACCAATAATATTTACCAAATGCATTGATTGTCCAATAGTAATTGTCGATTTCTTTGTAATAAACTAGAAATTACCAATTACGTGTAAACGATCCACTTGCTAAGTAATAGATAATGTTGATTATGTCATTAACAATACGCAACAAGTGCACTTTCAAGATAGCAGACAATATGCATGCACTTAGCGATCTTATAATAGACTAACGTAGGTATTACTAGGTATGTTATGAAGGCGATTCTAATACAAAATTCCCGTTTAAAGAACTGTTATGTTACACTAACTCGGTATAAAAAGTTAAGTAACAGTTGGAAGTATGCAAGGAATCCTAGTTATTACGCTTCAACGTCAATTCTTATGTCAGAAAGTAAAGTAATTCTAAGCGAAGGAGTCATAAAAAGCATCCTTTGCAATGTGAGGAGGGCAATGGCCGATGGGCCCTTTGTAACTCCAGCCGAGCGCAGGCTCAGCGATATCAATGCGTTTGCCGACGCACCACGCCTTGCACTCGCGTGTCAGCACGCATCTAAACATAAAGCATTTTCTACAATATCAGGTCATAGTTTCTACTCATAATAAAAACTTTTCATTTACAATAAAGACGGAGTCTAATCGTCGTTGTAGTTTTCTGGATAATGTCCATGATTCACTGTCCATGGTGCAGTGACGCAGCTCAGTTATTGTTCAAATATCAACATTGAATTTCCAGATTCTTTCGGGTTTCAGTCATATCGATAACTGCGGTGGTGCAACGTCACATCCGCAAATTAGTTGATACCTATTTACGTAGTTAGTTATTGTTTAATTTACATAAATGAAATATGTCGAAAGAATTGGTTTCATTAAACTTCTTACTATTCATTCTGAGCTGTAATTAAACTCTGAATTAAACAAAACGATTGTTTAATGCTGAGACTAATTAAGATGAAGATAATTATTTGGTAGCCAATAATAGATCTATGTTGAAAGTTTTCTAATAAGAATTTACAAATACTGAAGAGATAAATAACATGGGTAGGTAGTAGGTCCCTTCTATGAACAAAGACAGTCGATCAAGTTACACCCAAGTGGCTTGTCACTGAAGGACAACAACGGATAAGATAAATAAACCAAAGTCGTGTTGCAAAATAATAATCAAAAACAACCACATGATTAGATTAGATATATCTTGTTTTTAAAATCCAAAGTTCTACGTAGGCACTGCTTTACTTATTTTGAAATGTTACGTATGTACCTAGTACATACATAAGTAATCTCGTTAGTGATACGAGTCAGTATTATCGAATGCGTTATTTCGGCGCTGTAGATAGCTAATCAACTTCCACAACCTGAAAGGTACCAAGTTTTTAAGCACACCTTTCAAATGACAGACGATATTCTCAAATAAAAACATGACATGCACTAGACAGCCAGAACACGTCTAAAATAAGTTTATCAAGAGATCGACTGCCTCCATAAAATAAAATAAACGAAGTCAAGCTTTCTAACTAATTACCCGGTTGATTCGATAAAAACAAACAAACACATTTCCCGACCCTTTGTTTTATATCAGATAACAAAACGCGATTAGATTTACCGTTACAAGCTCATAAAACCGTCACCGAGGTAGGTTATGTACACATAATACATTATACATGTATTTGCATAGCATTCAAAGCGCAGTGTTAATTGGTGTGTCACATTTGATCCTGGCTTTCGACCAGTGACCCAGATACGCAACCATTCATCACTCGAACGTTTGACAGACAAAAAATATGAGTTTATTTCTCTCGAGATGCTCTCGAAATGAATGTGTCGAGACAGAAATGACTATCAACTGTTTTGGAGTTGCATTTTTAAAAACCGCTTATGATTTTAGCCGTGAATCTGTGTTATGAATATGAAGAGCTTTTGAATTCCAGAATTCTGTCAGTTAGGCATTTTTTGTTTTGGTTTTTTCGTCGTCCATTTTGATGATCCCTACTTTCGTTGTATATAATCAATGTTGAATACTATAGGTAGGACCTATATTTTTCCATAATAAACACATCATGGTATAATAAAGCATGCTTCTATAAAAACTTGTAGAATAGATATAAATAATAATTTTAATCGTCTTAATGAATAAAAGATTGTCGTGTCCATAAGTAACGACAACCATTAACTAGTTAATAATTGGTTAATAATATCACTTTACCTATTAACTTTAATTACCACGTGCATTGAACACGGTGAACATGTGACCGGTGTAACATAGGTGGGTATTTCAAAATGTATATGTATGTAGGTAGGTATTTAAAAATAATAGGTAACGTACTAAAATGTCAGACAGATCATTATACCTACAGCTGAAATGTTGCATGTATATGTATTGTGTAAAAGATAATTTAACAGTCTAGCTGTCTGCACAGTATACCTAAATAGACCGAGTCTAATTGCTAATTTCCCCCATTATGTGAACCGCCTTATTGATGATGTCTCACGCCGTTTCCTAGACGCCAGTTGCGTCACGCCACGCGTTTTACAACCAACTGAGTATTTTTATCACTCTAAATTGCACGTCAATACAGCTATTTTCGTACAACATCGTTAACTCCGCTGAAAGTGAGTAATTCCGTAGAAATTGAGCCGTTAGAAGCTAGAGCGTAATTAAATGATAAAACTTTAATGTATTGCATAGTGATAGGTGCAAAGCATTCGTGCGTTCAACACGCAATTTATAATAGCGTGCGTTTAGGGTGTCAAGACCACATTAATGATTGCCTGACGTGGACATATTGTGAGCGAGATGGCATCTATTCGACAGCTGCAGGATGCTGTGATGCGATTTGCGCACGAAGCGTCTGCGCAGCTCAATATCCTGCGCAGGGCAACGCCATCGCCACTCAAAAACCGTAATAACGTTCCGCTACTTCCCCGAATTTGTTGAACTCGTTTATATTTCTTTTTATCTTTTGGTAACATGTTGCAAACGCTCCAAATCGGTTACTCGGCCACGCGGCTCACTCGCGCCGACAGACGTGTTATTCTGCTAAATAGTCTCTAATCACGAATTTTTAAACCAACACGCGGACATGAAACTGTTTAAGTCACTAGACAGTTATTAACGTACCCATATTAATATTTATTACACACGGAAACCGTTTATTCATTGTAGTCTAACATGTAACCTAATACGATTTTGCTAGTTGAGAATGCGTAGCTCTAAATAAACAAATTCGCAAATTAAGTGTGTAACTAACTACGTGTACACAATAAAGATAATGGAGCAGGTATTATATCACGGTTTGTGTCAGCACTTATTTTAAAATGGCTCTGAACAATATAATTTGCCTGTTATCAGAATGTACCTAATGTTGTTAGATATGAGGAAGTCGAGACTAATGGCACTTGACATGAGCACCTGAGTAGCTATAATATTGGCGAACAATTTTATGCATAATTTGAAGTAAACGATGGAAAATGCTGCACGAGGAAGCGGAATAAACTGTCACTATTGTTTATTACGACCCACTTAGATACTTCTAAGTTTCCTCCCTTACCGTGTTTTTAGAAGTGTAAAATACGACAGGAAATGTGTTGTAAAAACATATCATTTCGCGGAGAGGTAATCTTGACTTCCAATTAAAAGCAGCAGTAAAATAAAGTGGCAATGAATGAGGTTCTTTGTGGCACATTTATGACATATAGTGAGCATTTTATGAAGGAGCTCTTTCGGAGAAATCGCTACCAAAACGTGTGACAAATAAGGTTAACAAAGTTAATATGTTTTCCTTTCCTAACAATGAGCCTAATCTATGAATTATACCTTCGTCAAAAAGAGGGAAGGAAATGCACACACAGCAGGAAAGTCAATAATGGGAAATCCTTTTCATCGCAAAAGAAATTCTTAAATCACGGTTTTCCTTTTCCACACCCTTGGCTCGATAAACAACATTGTTTTACATAGAAACATGTATTCACAATGGCTTCTTGAACGCATTGTACAGTCACTTTATGTTCAAACAGCCTTTTGCGAATAAAAATATGGATCATCAATATTTATTACACTCAATACTTTCCCTCAGACGACCGACTTTTTCTGTAATGTAAAACAGTCTGGAAAAACAGTTGCATTAGGTCAAGGCTCGCACAGATTACAAAGGCTTAATCACCGGTGATAAAACTGAATAAGTTGCTAACATCTTTTACAGAATAAAATAAAGCTAGTGCGAAGTAGGTGCAAAAACGTATCTTCTTTTCAAGTTGACTTTTCTATTTACAAACAAGGTACATGCCTGGATTACCTGGATTGTCTATCTAAGTACAAGGATTTAACTGGAACTAGACCTTTCTAGCTGAGGTAGCCAAACGAGTCTATTACTAAGACTAAGAGAAAGCTAACTGGTAACAGCAATAAATCATTTTATTATTATTGCACCAGGAACAACATATTTTAAAATTTATATTATTCATGAGAAAAGTGAAAATGAAGTTGTCGCTACGAATTCTCGTTTTTCGTCTTTCGTTTAGTTCTTAAACAATTTGAAATTGTAGTAGTTTATCAATATCTAGGCAAACACTTTCATTATTATTTGAACACCCGATAATTGTAGCAAACAATGTTATCGTTCGATATATTTACTTGTAGGTTTTTGAACCGTTTGTCATATTATCACCTTCACGCTTTTTACGCACAATTTGATGACAATCTTTGCCTCACAATAACATTGATAAATAACACAGTATAGGTTGCACTGAACGGTCAAATAAATAGTTTTACCTGTCATTATTATTAACTAGCTAATCGCTTTATAAATATACTACAGACGCCTTTGTTTACTAATGGCACTCTTCTATGGTGTTGTCAATTTAACTAAAATAAATCAATTCAATTATCAATTGTCTTCGCGACACATTCATTTAGATGTCACATACTAGAGGCACCTAATAACTGCTTAAAAATCAGCCATCTAAGGTGCGTATTGACAAGCCTTCGTGGCCTCTTAACCATATTTGTTGAGACAACAGCCGACGTGTTCAAAACTTAACGACAAATTGCCAAAACATACTTTAAACTGTGAGTAAGAGGGTGTATTTTGGTATACTAACCGGAAAAGTACGTCCGATTTTGGCGGATTTTCCGGGTATGGGTGTCGATTGGTTCACGGTTTGTACATAGAATAGGTTGCCTCGAGCCAACCATTGTCCTCCAGCTTCGACAAATGCTGTACATCCTAATGACGTCCAACTTGCTATTGTTTACTGTACCATCTGTGTACATGAAATTCGCTGCGAATATTTGCATGTATTGTACATAACACACGTCATTAAAACATTGGAAAAGTTATAAACTTGTTATTTTCATATTTACGCAGCAGTTTCGTTTACAACAGTGTTGTTAGTCGTTGATGTAGCTGTTATTTTAGGCAAATCGCTGTTTTAGTAGCAAGTTCTTGAAAATGCCTGAGTTAAGGACCAAGTCTTTAGTGCCAATATTTAAGCAAAGACCTTTTTGAAGCAACGCATTGACCTTTTTGATTTCGAAATTCTTAGTAGGTGCTTGGTACATAATGGAGTCTAGACTAGAATGTTTAATGTATTGTTTTGACCCTGAC